GCAGCTACCTTGGCTTGCAGATCACCCGGGACAGAGCACGCCGCACCATTACCCTGACGCAGTCACACATGGTGCAGCAGGTCCTTCAGCGCTTCGGCTTCATGTACTCCTCGCCTCAGGCCACTCCTCTGTCTACTCGCCACTCGCTCTCAGCTCTGCCTTCAGATGAGTCCGTAGAGTCGAGTGGCCCGTATGCAGAGCTTGTTGGCTGCCTCATGTACCTGATGACCTGCACACGACCTGACCTTGCACCCCCTCTTAGCATTCTTGCACGCTATGTTGCTCCTGGGAGACACAGACCAGAGCACACGGCTGCAGCGAAGAGGGTGTTGCGCTACTTGTGCAGTACGTCGGGCATGGGGCTAGTGCTTGGAGGGCGGAGTCCAGTGGTCCTCTATGGGCACGCGGACGCTTCTTGGGCAGACGACCAGGCTACGCAGCGGTCGTCACAGGGTTACACCTTCAGCCTTGGTTCCGGCTCTGTTTCGTGTCGGGCTACTCGCTCGTCTTCTGTTCTCGGCTCCAGTTGTGAGGCTGAGATCTACGCCGGGGCCATGGCTGCACAGGAGCTTCGCTGGCTTACCTACCTGCTGACTGACCTTGGAGAGCCGCCTCGTTCTCCTCCGGTGCTGTACGTAGACAACAAGGCCATGCTGGCCTTGTGTCGGGAGCAGCGCCTGGAGCACAGAACGAAGCACATTGCTCTCCGCTACTTTCTTGCTCGTGAGTTGCAGTAGCGTGGTCAGTTGCGACTTGCGTACGTGGCCTCTGAGGCCAACACTGCTGATGTTTTCACCAAGGCACTTCCGCCTTGTGATCATCAGCGCTTCTGCACTTTGCTGGGTCTTGTGCATGTCTTGCCTCACTTGCTCACCCCTTGACCTTGCTTGTACTTTTACATATATATATACCTGCTCTTGCCTGTTTAGCCTTTTATATATATGTGTACTCCTGCATGTGAACTGGCCTTGTGGCCTTGACCTTGTGCTCGGAATGTGTGGTGACGTTGTGATCCACCCTGAGCTTTGTCTGCTTTGCTTGACTGGTCTTGTGACCCCTTGTTCTCCCCCACTTTGCCTATGGGGGTGTGTCAAATTATAATATTGTGTAGGCTATAGTGGGGTAGCCTATATGGGGTACATATTTCTAGGGTTGCATATTTGTATCACTTCCATTCCTTAGTCATTCATTCTCGTTCTAACTTTCTCACCCTCGTTAGAGCCCCTTGCGCCCCCTCATTCGAGCCTCTCGCGACCCTTGATTAGAGCATCTCGCGGCTGGTCGTTAGAGACTCTCGTGGCCCATTGTCGTTCAGCGAGACTGCAGCAGTGGAGACAGCAGCAACAACAACAACCGTAGTAGTTGCAGCAGCAACAACCGTAGCAGTTGCAGCAGCAGCAGCCTCGTCCTGTCGTTCTTTGCCGTGTTCTTCTAGTAACCGTGAACCTCTCTCCTCTCTCCTGTTGCCCTTTCCGGACCCGGATCCAACTCGTTTTCCTCCTTGTTCACTGTTTTCTCCTCTCCTCTCTGGCCCGCCTCGTCTCAAGCTATGAGCCTCTGTTCTTGTCATCCTCCTCTTCCCTCTCTTCCTTTCTCACCGACACTCCTCATCAGTCCGTCTTTGCTCTCATCATTGTTGTCACAGAATTTGCCTCCATTCGCTGCCTTGCCTACGCAACTCAATTGGTTTTTGCTCTTGCACATCGTCCGTTCATCGGGATGCACCTGCACGTCCTTCGTTTGTCGGGGGTGCACTTGATTGTGACGTTAGAGAATAGGAATTTCGAGCTGGCTGTCCTTGCGACCAATGCTCTACATCTCTGTGCTATGTTGCTTGCCCCTAAGGGTGAGCCATACGCTATTGACTTCCCAACCCCTCACACCTACATCGAGGCAGTCCTAAGACCCTGGGCCTCGTATAGGATTGCAGACATGAACAAAAATATTGCAGCTTGCAAGTCCACAGAACATTGACGCAATTCCTCATTTTGGGACGAACGTAATCGACGGCACGCGGATCTTCAAGTAGAAACGGCTAGACAATGTGTCGACTTATACGTAGTTGTCAAGAAGACTCACATGCCGTACGTTTAGGAATGAAGGGAGGTGTTGGCATAGCTGATAGCATTTTCGAATATATCGCTGAATCACAGTACCTCATATAGGGAATGCAAACTAACTAGGTTTGCGTTACACTCATATAGAGCACGCGATAGTATTAGGAGACGGGAGGTCAACCGTCGATAATCAACTGCACTAACGGTTGTTTGACCAAGGTAGAGGTTTACGCGTTGCACCAGGTAACCGAAGGCATCGGAATCAATGTTGTTGTATCAATACATGTAAAACGGTTGAATAAGGAAATTCTTCCCTCAAAGTACATGGCTAGCTATGACAAAATAATTTAATGGAATGCCATTTGATTATTATCTCGTTATACACACTCACTATGACAAGGTCCTTATAGGACTTCCGATATATTCTACCATTGGAACCTTATTTTCTCCACCAGATTTTTTGTCTAGTTTCAACACCCCCTCGCTATATTACTGCTAAGCTTACTTGTTTGCACAATAGCTGAAATTACAGCCTTGTTATTGACTTTCGCGCACTCTCTTCATTTACAACTCATAAGAATGCATCATTGTATGGTTACATGCCAAAGAATCAGGTAACTATATTTTCTGCTGGCGGTAAACATCCAATTTTCCTATCTCCCTTCGCCTCGTGACGACAAACGACAAGCGTCTTGTCAGAGACTGTCGCGAGCGCAACTGCAATCTTTGCCCATTGTCGTAGGTTGCCTGGTGGTTCGGTCGGTGGTGAGGCTGTAACCACAAGCGATCATGGAAAAACATTGGGAAATTATCAAAATAGGGCCAAAGAGTGCCAGAAGAATGACCGAAGTAGGGCCAAAAAATCTCAACCGTAGGATTTTCGACCCCGAGCTGCCCAAGAGGCTAGGCGAACAAGCCGAACCGTAACTAAAAGAGAAAAGCTACTAGCACCAAAATTTGTGTCAAACGTTTCGATAAAATGGTTACGACTGCCGTCTACTACTACGCGCACATCGCGTTCTTCTGGAAGTAAATATTGCTGTGTTAATTTGTGAGTCAAAAAACAAATTCATTATGGGTGATAAATATCACTCCCTGATCGGAAACGCGCAGAAAAAAAAAAATATTACCCATTCGTAAATGGATGCGACTAGGGAGGCATCAACCCTAAACACAACTGAGGTCCCGTTTTTAGGGCTGATCCATCTCGAAAATGCATCCAGGTTCCCCTCGGGGTTTTAGCTTTTTTGGCTGCCCAAAGAGTTTCTGGCTTGCTAGACGACGCTATTGGGTGGAAGGTGATGAATCAGTAAACATTTCCATGTAAATTGACGCGCGAGCTCAAATGCAAACTGTTAACAAACATACGTTCGATAACTGATACCCTTATGCAAATACGTTTGAAAGCAGTGGTTTGGTTAGTTTCGGGCCTTTCAGCCCTTGTTTTAACACCTCCCTGGCACCGTTCGGCCCCTGTATGATCTTCTCCCAAAATCAGTCGCAGCAATCCCAAAGAGTCGTTGAGCGTCGTCTGCGCTCCGGCGCAGACATCTGAAAACTCGAGGTGCACCAACTGTGAGGAAATGACGGACCGCCGTGTTTGCGCGTTTTCGATTCCTTTCGGCAGTGGCTTTGACATCGACTCCCACCGCGCTCGCGCCCAATTCCCGCGGTCAGTTTATATTGCTGTTTTCCGTTTTTCATGACCAGACGTAGAAGGGCAAATATTAAGTTTACCTGGCTTCAGTATAGAGGCCAGTGGAAAAAACTAAAACCCACTCAGATGACAAGCCATTCGGTAGGCATCAACCCTAAACACCTTGCCTCATGGTGTTTAGGGTTGATGCTCTCTTCGTGGCATACCATCCATGAGGGTTATAATTTTTTGTCCCGAGCTGAGCGTTTGCCATGGACTCGACGATACATTTTCAATACACCGTAACCTAAAAACAGCTTGTATTTGTGGACTTAAAAGGGGAAACTGAGAAAGAATATGCCCCAAGGTATTGGACGCGAGCGCAGAGCAATGCGCTGTCAAAACCACTGCCCATTGGAATTGGAAATTTGAAAACACGGCGCTCTGTCATTTCCTCACCAACTGTCCTCCCGCGCGTCGCGATCATCAGCAACCACATAGCGCCTCGGGAGTCTTTGTTAGCGGCTTGCTCAGACCAAGCGACCACGGGTTCCCCCTGTATCGCCTCGCCTGCCTTGCCCCATTCTGTTAGTCCCTCGTAAAGCAATCAGCTACGAACTAGTGAATTTGGCGAATTCGGCACCAACCCTAACCCAACGCTCTTCTAATTAGTGTCCCTTCCCCTTGCCTCATAGCCGAATGAACGTTGAAGCGAGAGGACGGCAAACGAGTACACTAGAAAGCCCATGCGCGGTCAAGTATTGAGCGTCGTGGCTTATTTGTCGGAGTCCGCTTTTCAGAAAATATCAACCACGCCACTTGCATTCTCGCTTGCCGTGCATCGCGCTCACTCGCATCCCGACCACCACGTAACCCCAGAATAATGCCATGAAAGCAGGGCGTCGCTCCGTGAGACGATTCTGGTAAAAGCCCTTTCACAGGGCGCCTGCGTCGCTCGCCCCATTCCATCTTTCCGCACAGTGCCTCTCATCAATCATGAGCCATGGCAGACAGATCGTCCTTCCAGCTCACGGGAATTTTCCTGAAAGCAAACGCGTTCCATTCAATGGCGTGGCAGCAGGCTTTCAGCGTGGAAGCGCAGAATTTTCTTCACATAGCAGGTCTTCTTGGTCTACGTTGTCGCGCCGGTCGTCCTGCAGCGACATTGCAAGTGCAAAGGGGCGTACGAGACATGGTCCTGTGCCGCCGTCAACCACCCTCCGAGCCGTAATGCACCCTATTCATGCTACCTAATAGAACTCTCTCGCACTCCTCCCTTTCTTTCAATGCATTAATGCTCAGCCGCAATGCAACAATGGCTCCTGATTTTCCTCTGCGGCTCCGCGTATCCCTTCTCTTCGCTTGCCTTACTGCGCTGTCACATTCACATCGCTTGCTCTCTCAACCACCCCGTTTCTTTCTTCTCTCCAACTGTGCTAATCTTGTCGCAGGTGCTTCTTCTTGTTGTTGCATTACTGTCGCAACCGAATCTCGTGCCTGCTACCACCAACAACACGACATTTCCCACAGCACTTCCGGTAGGAAACGGGACGGAATCCGTTCCTGCTAACTCCACATCCACACAGCGACAAGTAACGACACCCACAGAGGCTTCGCCGTCAGGGGCATTCGCCGCGAGCGAATCAGCTCATGCGGGCGCGCAACCACCCTCCGCTCCCGCAGCCACTGCCCCGCTGCGAGCGGAAGTGGCGCAAGCGGCGCAAGCGGAACTGGCAGGGAGAGGCTCTGTGCTGCGCAAACGGAAGCGGGTGGCGGAAGACCCGCTGGGGAATCAGGACGCCCCGGCTGGGGGGAATATGAGCGCCTTGGGGAGCGGGTGGGGGGATGGTGACGGAGAGGAGCGAAGGATCGGGACAGGAGAAGAGATGTGGGATGTGAAATATCATTACGGGTCAAGAGAGGACGAAGAAGCGGATTTAGCGGGTATGAAGGGGATGGTTAAGAAAAGGGCAGGGGAAGTGGAGGACGGGGAGGAGGGTAACGATGCAGGGAGTGTGGACGAAGGGTTGGAAACTGTTTTGAATTATGACGTAGGGAGTGAGGAAGAGGGGGCGGTAACGGAAAGATGGGGCGGTGGGGAGGAGGGGGAAGAGTGTGAGGAGGACGAAGAGGAGAAAGAGGAAGTAGATAATTACGGGTCAAGAGAGGACGAAGAAGCGGATTTAGCGGGTATGAAGGGGATGGTTAAGAAAAGGGCAGGGGAAGTGGAGGACGGGGAGGAGGGTAACGATGCAGGGAGTGTGGACGAAGGGTTGGAAACTGTTTTGAATTATGACGTAGGGAGTGAGGAAGAGGGGGCGGTAACGGAAAGATGGGGCGGCGGGGAGGAGGGGGAAGAGTGTGAGGAGGACGAAGAGGAGAAAGAGGAAGTAGATAATTACGATGACGATGACGACGACGACGACGACGACGACGACGACGACGATGATGACGATGACGACGACGACGACGACGACGATGACGATGACGACGATGACGACGACGATGACGATGACGATGACGATGACGACGATGACGAAGACGACGACGATGATGACGACGACGCGAACGACGAAAATTATGAAGCTGACGAACACGAAGAGGGTATGTTCAAAGAGCACTCCTGGGAGCACGAGCCGCAGTTGGGAATTCTAGACCGGTGGGGACATGATGATGCGGGCGCGGAAAGGAATCGATGGCCGAAGGCCTTCGCTAACACAACACTTGATAATCGCCTTACTCTCAACAGCAGCAGTAGGAACAGCAGCAGCAGCGGCGGCGGCGGCGGCGGCGGTGACGGCGGCGGCGGCGGCGGCGGCAGTACCGACGCACCTTGGCCAGACAATAGCACCAGTCCGCTTCAGCCCGAAGCACCCGCTGACAGCCTCTTCACTCGCCGCGCGCTGAGGAAGATAGCCCGCGCCAAGCGCGCGCCTGCAGTTTCCCCCCGCTGGTGGAGCTCCGCCGCCAGGGGGAAAGCGCCAGGCGCTAAACGGCGACCGGCTGCTAGACGGCCGGTGAAACGACCGGCTGCTAGACGGCCGGTGAAACGACCGGCTAAGGGGAGTCGGCCAGCCGGCACGAGCGGAGGAAAGGGGAAAGGTAAAATCGTGAGGCGAGCCGCGACGAAGAAGCGCGGCGGACGCACGAGCCGCGGAGTGAGCGCGGCTGCGGCAAAGTCGAAGGGGGCGGTCAAACGGCGGCAGAGCACTATAAAGCGCCGAGGAGCGAAAAAGGCGCCGCGAAAGACGCCACGGAAGGCGACGCGTAAAGTGACGCGAACCGTGAGAGGACGCGGGACGAGCGGGCAAGGGAAGGCGAGGCGGGGAGGGAGAACGCGCGTGCAGGGCTCAAGCGCGCGGCCACGGAAAACCGCCAAGAAGCGCCCGAGCAGCAGCGCGAGGAGACCGAGTAGCCGAAGCAGGAGCAGCAAGAAGCCAGTAAAGAAAGTTAAGGCAGTCAAGGCAGCGAGCAGCAAGCAGGTGGACTGCCAGTACTCGCGCAAGGGCTTCGGGCAGAACCTGTACCGATGCGCCATGGGGTACGCGAAGCGCGCGCGCGTGATGGGAGGCCTCGGGAAGCCCGTGTATATCGTGCGCAGCAGCGCGGACTACGCGACAGTGCCCAAGTACGGTACGCTGCGCTGGGCGCTGCAGTGGCTGCGCGGCGGGTGTTACATCCGGTTCGCGAAGTCGATGACGATTCGCCTGAACGCGCGGCTGTTCGTGCCGTCGCACACGAGCATCGACGGGCGCGGCGCGTGGGTGAAAATCATCGGGAGCCTTGACGTGGTCAATGTCACGAATGTGATTATACACAATATTGCAGGTGAACGACGAGGCAATTTTCAAACTACCTGCTTTTTCCTATGTGGAGGGTCTGTTCATACAGAGAGGAGTGCATACGCATAACCTATTAACATACCAAACTAACTCTTTGCCACCGTTTTTGGCTCTACTTCCTGCTCCCCTCTCTGCTCTCCTCGCTCCTTCACCACTCACCATCTTCACTGTCTTTCTTAGTGGAGAACGAGTACGGCAACCACGACCTTATCCACATCCGGTCCAGCTGGCGCATATGGGTGGACCACTGCAACGTGCAGAACGGCGTACGTGGCACTGTTGACGTTGTGCGGGGTTCCACTGACGTCACCATCTCCAACTGCTACGTCCACAACAAGTGAGCGGGGAGGGAGGGACGCGTGGTTGAACTTGGTCTCGGGGTTGCTGCAGGGTTGCTGCTCGGTGTTCTTGGGCTGGTCACTGATAATCAAGGCAGATGGGTCTGATGACTCTAGGACATCTTCTTGCACAGCGAGTGTCGAGTTGTTGTAAACACCTCTCTGGACGCCACTCTGCTGCGTCCACACCAACTCAGTATAGCAAGTCCCCACAACCGCCATATCCCATGCATGTGTTGTCTGCTCTCCTTCCCGCCCTCCCACCCTCTCGCCATCCTGCTTGCTTCTTCCCCACCAGTTGCTGCATCACACCCCTGAATGTCTTCCCTGGCCTCCAATCCTTATTTCTAAACCCTCCTTCACCATTACCTCCCTACATGTGTATGTGTCTCTTCCATTGATCTCTTTGTCTAGGACAGTTCAACAGACTTCCTTAATCATGTGCTTTTCATCTCCCCTTCTCCCTCCACCTCTGTGTGTGTGTGTTTCTCTCTCTCTCTCTCTCTCTCTCTCTCTCTCTCTCTCTCTCTCTCTCTCTCTCTCTCTCTCTCTCTCTCTCTCTCTCTCTCTCTCTCTCTCTCTCTCTCTCTCTCCATCCTCCCTCTCCCTTTCCCCCACCCCTCCAACTCTGCATGCCTCATGACCCCAGGGACCTCACAATGCTGCTGGGAGCGGCAGACTGGGACTCTATTGACAAGCGCATGCGTGTAACCATCTACCGTAACTGGTTCGACAAGTCAGGCCAGCGGTTACCACACTGCCGCTGGGGAGAGTTCCATGTAGTGAACAACCTCTACACCAACTGGGGCTTCTACTGCTTAGGTGGCCGAGCATATGCGAACATCCGGTCTGAGCGGAATGTTTTCCTGCCCGGACAACGGAAGGAGGTCACTCCATGGTTTGGCGTCTCGGCACTGTCTACACCCGGGTTTGACAACTCGCCTACAATCGTTTCCATCGGCGATGCACTCTTGAACGGTGCAACTTTCCATGAGTTCAGGGGTATGAAGCAGCCATTCTCCCCACCGTATCTAATCCCCATGCTGACGCCTAACACTGCAGCGCAGTTGTACTTGGCAAAAAATGCCGGCCCACAGTTGCAGCCTCCCAGCTTACCCTGTAGTAACAAGAGGAACTGTGCCTGAACTGTCAATCGACATTGCCTAGGCACCAATGTGATACACGTACTGGAGTACCAGCCAGTGCGGGCAACATGGGGTACTCAATACAGTATATTAGGGAATAGAGCTGATGCGCGCGCGTTACTCGCACGTTTACTAATGTCAGGCATGGTATTGTTATAATTGATAGTTAACATCACTGTATGAACGGTGAATGTTACAGTTGATGTAGAGTTGAGGCGCTTGAAAGGAAGAAGGCTGATTGGTTGTCCAATGGCTGTATCCTTGCGCAGGGGCCATGCTATTCTTCTCTTTATCGTTCCAATTTTAACTGATGTCCTGTCCAGAAGTCCATTGGCTGTATGGTCTTAAAATCCACTCCACCATCCCTAACCTACTACACTCACATCATTAAACGCAATAATCCAGGTTGTTACCATCTAATTCGTGCCAACGACGTTCGCTGTGGAAGTCGTCGGGCTTCGCCTGACGGACGACTCACGCGGGACGTGGTGCAACATTGTCCTCTCATTCATCCATGCGAAGGTTAGTGGTTCGCGTTGCTTCTCATCGTCAACCAATGAGAACTCAGCAGCACCGCATAATCCTTGGAGTTGCACTCCTTCGGGGTCGGGGACAACCAGTGCCTGAAACGTCGCAGCAGACTAGCCGATCACATCGCAGCGTAGACAAGTGAGCAAATTCTGCCCGCGATTAGCGGGCGCTATCCGTTGCTGCTATCCGCCCTTGCGCGCGGCCGAAGATGCAGACGGCTATTAGGTGAGTAACTGGCACCAGCAGCATTTGCCACCACTACGAGCCACGCGGCGGCGCGAGAGAGCACCAATGCCACGCTCGATGAAGCAGCAGCATTACTGATGCGATGCGTCCTACTGCGTCTATCGCTTAACACTGCCTCTATCTCTTTCTTTCTCTCTCTCTCTCTCTCTCTCTCTCTCTCTCTCTCTCTCTCTCTCTCTCTCTCTCTCTCTCTCTCTCTCTCTCTCTCTCTCTCTCTCTCTCTCTCTCTCTCTCTCTCTCTCTCTCTCTTTCTCTCTCTCTCTCTTTCTCTCTCTCTCTCTCTCTCTCTCTCTCTCTCTCTCTCTCTCTCTCTCTCTCTCTCTCTCTCTCTCTCTCTCTCTCTCTCTGTATATATATATATATATATATATATATATATATATATCTATATATCTCTCTCTCTCTCTCTCTCTCTCTCTCTCTCTCTCTCTCTCTCTCTCTCTCTCTCTCTCTCTCTCTCTCTCTCTCTCTCTCTCTCTCTCTCTCTCTCTCTCTCTCTCTCTCTCTCTCTCTCTCTCTCTCTCTCTCTCTCTCTCTCTCTCTCTCTCTCTCTCTCTCTCTCTCTCTCCCTCTCCCTCTCCCTCCTCCCCTGCTTGCCGCACGCCCATCCTTCTTCCTCATCTTCCCTTCAATGCTCCCGCCCCCCCCCCGCTGTTTTGAAATGCCCCGCTCAGATTCCCCGTGTCCTCGCGCGGGCTATTCATTGCGGGGAGTGTCTCTTCCGCGCGTTCTTCCGCGCCCGCGCGGCCACTTCCCCCAGTGGTTGCTCGCTCAGGTGGCGCGGACTCCTCCCCCGGCTCCGTGCAGCCGCCGCCCGCGGGGGCCGCGCAATCACAGGTTCGCATTTACGCACAAATAGAGGAGATAGGACCGTGTCTCTCACTCAACTCATAAACCATACTTTTCTCCCATACTTTTCAGCCTTACTGTTCCAGTATGGTCCACAAATGCAGCACACGTTTTTCACCCACAAACGCCACAATTGCGCAATTCCATGTTTTCTTCCAGTGCGGCCAGCAGAAGAAGCCTTTTTCTGTACCTTCTCTGTTTCTTTCCCACTTCTGTCGATCTCCCTTGCAGAGTGGAACAAGCAGCGGCCTTTCCGCCTCAAGCCGACCACAATCCGCCTCCGCCTCTCAGCCCTCGTCCTCCTCCCCTACTCCCCCCTCCTCCCCCTCGCCTCTCTCTCTCCTCTCCTCCCCTCCTCCGTCTGTTTCCGCCAACACCCGCGCTCGCCTATTCGACTCGCCTTCCTCCACGTCATACCCCCCTGCCCGCACGCTAGACCCCTTGGAGACATCGTTCGAGGGCATCATGGCGTTTGATGCGCCGGGGCCTGAGCTCATCAATGGCCGCCTTGTACGTGCTGTGCTCATCCTCGTGCTGTGCTTGCTGGGTGGTAGGTTGTCCCTCGCTTCATGTTGTGAGAAGCTGTCCTTTGAGGAGGGGTTAAGATCTGGCTGCCTGGTGTGTGCCGGGCGTCACCACCCCCACTATCACCATATTGCATCTAGCTATCTACGTCTCATCACCCCCATCGGTTCTCCTCCCGCGCGTCCCTCGCAGGCCATGCTGGGATTCATAGCAGGGATGAGTCGGGAGGTGGTGGGCGGGGTGTCACTGCAGCAGCAGCTGGCAGACCCCGGCGAGATGGGCATAGCAGCGCTGATGCTAGCTGCCGTGCTCGTCTCCCTTGCCTCTCTGCCTCCACTGCTCAAGGGAGTTCGACCAGAAGACCGCAGGTGAGAATGTTTCAGATGAGCATCATGGTGTATGGCAGAGTGTCGGTGATGTGTTGCTGTCTTGGTGATTTGGTGACATGGAGTCAGATGATCTATGCGATGGGGACCCACTTCTGGGTGGAATGCTTATGTCTGGAGTGTCTGTTGACTAGTGTGTGGGACGGTTAGGATTGGCAAGTGCCTAAGGCGGCGAGCTCTTGTGGTCATTGCATGGGTCCTGCTACGCCGCGAAAGTTATTTTTGGCAATGTGCCTGATGTGGTATGAGGAAACGGAAATGCGAAGGTGGGGAGGGGAGATCGAAGGGGCCTGCTGAATGCTGAATGCTGTGCTGACATGCATCACCACCACTGATTCTCATGACTTGTTTCCCGTCTGTCTCCTGTTTGCTGTCTGCAGCTTCCTCTTCTTTTCCTGGGAGGCGGAACAGCTGAATGGACGAGTTGCCATGCTTGCATTTATTGGGGTGTACACTGTTGAGTACATTGCTAGTGTTCTCTTGCAGTAAAGAATTGTGACAGGTGTGTGTGTGTGTGTGTGTGTGTGTGTGTGTGTGTGTGTGTGTGTGTGTGTGTGCGTGTGTGTGTGTGTGTGGAGAGGATGAATAACTTCAGCGTTACCTTAACTGTACCGACATGTCAAATGTTGTAGTCTTAGTGATGTGTGTTATAAGGGGTACAACTGTTAGGGTTATGTCTATGTACCCCAACTTACCTTAGTAAAACCAACACTTCCATTCTTGACATGGCATCACCTAGGTTAGGATCCCGTGGGATCCCGCTGGAGCCTCTCGCGCCCATTGCACGTATCGACTGTTACCGCTGAGCCTTTTTCGTCCCGTAGCTTAGTACGTGCCCATTCCGTTACGAAGCGCCTGTAGCCCTCGCACTCCCCGTCGCGTCGCGTCCTCTGCCCTTTCTTCTGCCCGTCCCGTCCCCTGCTTGTCCCGTCCTCTGCCCATCCTGTCCTCTGCTCGTCCCGTCCCCTGCCCGTCACGTCCCCTGCCCGTCGCGTCCCCTGCTCGTCGCGCCGCACTGCCGTCCCGTCCCCTGCCCGTCGCGTCACCTGCCTGCCGCATCGCGCTGCCGTCCCGTCCCCTGTACGTCGCGCCCCCGCTGTGCCCTGCCTATCTGTGGCGCCCCGTGCGCCCTGCCCGTCCGTCGCGCCCCATGCACCCAGCCCGTCCGTGGCGCCTCGTGCGCCCTGCTCGTCTATCGCGCCCCTTCTGCGCCCTGCCCGTCCGTCGCGCCCCATGCGCCCTGTCCGTCCGTCGTGCCCTGTGCGCCCTGCCTGTTTGTCGCACTCCGTCCCTACCAGTTGTGTCCTGTCCCATCACACCGCACCGTCTGTCACGCTCTACGCAGGCCCTTCAGGCGTTTGAGTTTTGGCAACAGCAATTCCCACCCCTTCGTTACCGCTATGGCGACCCCTAAGGTTCTGCGCTTTGACGCCGAGGGTAGGCCGCTTGAGTTCTCCGTCTGGCTCCTGCGTGCGCGCCGCCTTTTAGAGAGTCAGGTTCAGGCAGATGAGTCTCTGTGGGCGCATGCTTCTGGCGACCTTCCTAAGCCCGACGATCCTGCGCCCTTAGGCACTGACCCTAGCGATGCAGCCAAAGATCGTTATGCCCGCCAGCGTGCTGACCTCACAGCATGGAAGTCGCGTGACGCTGCGGCCTGCATCGCCCTCAGCAGCCTTCTCCCTGAGTCAGGTTTGCTCAGCTAGTGAGTGCCTGGCTGCGATCAAGGCCCGCTACGCTACTCCCACCACTGACTCTCTTGGTCGCCTGTTCCTCCCGTTCCTGTTTCTTGACCTCGCCTCGTTTGAGCGCTCTGCTGACTTGATCGCTCACTTACACTCGCTCGATTTCAGCAATCGCGCTGCCTGCACTGACGAACAGCTTGCACTGCTCCCTCCCCCTATGGCGATTACTATCTACAGTATCTCCTTGCCACTAGCCTCCCTGACCGCCTTGCCTCGGTTCGTGACGCGCTTCTTCTGAAGCACCCTAGCGAGCTCACTATCGAGGTCCTTGAGTCTGCCCTCAAGCACGTCGAGAGCAACCTCCGCTCAGTTGCCTCCGCCTCTGGTGCTGTGCCCCCTCCACTGTTTCATGGGTGCACTGTCCCTCAGCTGCCCACCTTTACTGCCTCCCTTGCCACTGCCGCTATCGACGTGACCGCAGCTGCTGTTACGACTTCTTCGCGGTCTACGGGTAGGAGCGGCAGGAGGGGCGGTCAGGGTGCGGGCGGAGGCGATGGGGGTGACGTGGCGAGCGGCGGCGGTGGGAGTGTAGGGGCTGGAGGAGCGCCTCGTGCAGTGGCTGGTGACTGCCCTGCTGCAGCTGGTGGAGGTGACGCCCGGGTCCGTCAGCCACCTACTGGTCTGCCAGCTGCAGGGGGTGGAGCAGAGGCATGGTACCTGACTCAACGACAGCAGCAGCAGCAGCCCCTCCCCTTGTAGCAGCCACAGCAGCAGCAGCGCCAGCAGCAGGTTTTGGGGCAGGGGTCAGGACAGCGTCAGTTGCAGCGTGGTGTCGTCCACCCTCCCTGCACCTATCACGTTCTGACAGGTGCCTGCCGCGGCCAGGCTTGTGGCCGCAGCCACCCACCGGGTCAGTGCTTTGCTCAACTTACTGACACGGTTCGGTTGGCCTACGGTGTTGACAGCCCTACCCCAAACTGGCTTCCCCTTGTTCAGACATACGGCCCCGCTCTGTGGGGCATGTCGGCTTCTCAGTTGATTGATCTCTTAGGAACCTCCCATGCTATGCTGTTGTTGACTCTAGTGCTTCTGACTCTGTTTGCTCGAGTGTTGTTAGCTTAGGTGCTAGTCTTGCTGAGGTGCTTGTTGCTAGTGTAGGTACTTTTGTAGACACTAGTCCAGGAGCTGCTCCGGAGGACGCTTCCCTGTCTTTCACCCTGGACTCCAGAGCTTCGCACTGGTTCTTCCGTGACCGCACGACACTTACCCCGCTTCCTACGCCGGTCTCTGTAGCACAGGCTGATCCCACTTCGAGACCAGTCACTGCTCGCTACACTTCTACGCTTCCGTGCCCAACTGTTCCCTTCGGTTCTCTGACCGGCTTCCACGTCCCCTCGTTCTCGAGGAACTTGGTGGGCATGAGGCCGCTCATGAGTCAGCACGTGGATGCGTGGATTGAGCTTTCTGGCGAGACTGCGATTTTAGTCGACGGGGACACGTACGCGCCTCTTGCCACCTTTACCGCAGAGCCGGGCTCTGGTCTCTACACACTTCACACTGGCCCCCGAGGACGGCAGCAGCAGCAGCAGCGGCGGCATCAGCAGCAGCACCAGCAGCAACAGCAGCACCGGCAGCAGCAGCTACTGCCCCCCGTCAGGTTCCCGCGTCTCACCAGGTTGTCGCGTCTCCCTAGATAGCTGTGTCTGTTCAGGTTCCAGTGTCAAGTCCAGTCACTGCGTCGTGCTCCTACCGATCGCTTGCCCACCCCACTGTTTTATGGCACCACCGGGTGGGGCACCCGTCCATTTCTCGCCTGCGCGATTTGTCTAGTCAGTGTCTTGTCTTGGACCTCCCAAGAGTCTTCCCGTCTCAGCCGCCTTCGCTTGCTCCACCCTGCGGTCCCTGCGTCGAGGGTCGGCTGCGTGCCACCCCCTCACTCCTCCCTTCGTCCGGCCGCCGAGCCCTTTGAGACTCTCCCCTTGAACGTCTGGGGCCCGCCTCGCGCCCTAGCCTTAAGCGAGAGAGTTTCTTTCTCGTGGTCGTTGACGACTACTCCCGCTACACCGCAGTGTTCCCCCAGGAAAAGACGTCTGAGGTGACTTCTACGCTGATCTGGTGGTTACTTACCACTGCGGTGTTATAGTCACAATAGGCTCCAATGTGCCTAAAACGAAAGATAGAGTGCACAGCCGGATTTCTGCACAGCGGCTTCAAACGTTCATAGCGTTCTGGTCACAACTTCAAATGACCTGATTTAACTTGGATCTGGAGCGTCTGAACGTCGCCTACAATAGGCAATTTAGATCGCACAATTTGACCAAGTATTGACGACACAGTGTCGGTTTGAACGATCGGCACTATGGCAGCCACTATAGTCTTAGAACACAAAATAGGAAGAGATATGAAGAGTTACGAGTTGGGAATGACTCCCAGCTCCTACAAACCCCAAGAGCCGAGGTACAGTGATGTGGAACAGTGCCACACTGTCCCCAACCATGAAGGGTCTCGAAACTACCCTTCACTAGGGCCTACACCAAGTGAAATGTTACACTACACAAAGTAATGTAACTATCTTCAATATCTTGAGGTGTACCCTTTTGGCGAGCTTCGAAATCACTTGAGGCTTGACACCAAGGCTCGGGCTCTTCATCACAAACTCATCCTTGAGTTCTTGATGGGTCTACTGCACACACCTGCGACACACCGAACGTTCGACACAGGACAAAATAGAAACCGCGCACGACAAAAATAGAAACCGCGCGCGAGACACAATCGACCGCGTAACACGCGTCTAGCGATAACTCGCTATTGACTCGACACACACACTCGACATCAAGACTCAACATTCACACACAATTATAAGCATGAAATATATATTATCCCATGCCCTCATACCATTCCATACACACACACATGCACGCACACGGACAACAAGCCGAGTGCAAACCGTACGGTTGCACCAACAAACTCCCCCTCGGATTGTTGGCCTTAGGATATGTTGCTCTCTCAGTTCAGAGCCATCCCAGCCAGCTTGCAACACTTCCAATGCTGCTGCTCCACCAGCCTCTTAGTCATCATGTCAGCCGGCTGCCCCGTGGTCTTCACGTACCGCAACTCAACTTCACCCGCGGTCACCATGCTCCTCGTCCAATGCCACTTCACCCTCATGTGCTTTGTGAGTCCATGCAACACAGGGTTCTTAGCAAGAGCAATGGCACCCTGGCTGTCACAGTAGAGTGGGGTAGGTCCTTCTACTCCTCCCCCAATTCAGCCAACAAACGCCGCTGCCACACAATCTCCCGTACGGCACGGAAGAGTGCCATGTACTCGGACTCCACTGAGCTCAAAGCTTGGTCAACCTGCTTCTTGCTCTCCCAAGCAGTTGGGCCTCCACCAACACAGCATATGAAGCCTCCCACACTTGTCATGTCCTCTGGTTCCGATGCATATGACGCATCTGAGTAGGCGGTGAGGAACAAACGCCCGGGCTCAACACCATCCGCGCCCTTTTGGCGCCTTTGTGCCGCCGCCGAGTATTGCAGCCCAACGGTCGGTGTTTGGCCAAGATACTTGGCCACCCTCATTCCAGCTGCTACCTGCTCCTCATTAGGGCATTGCACAACCCTAGCCAGCTGCCCGGTAGCAAACGCGACGTCCGGTCGGGTGTTTACCGCCGCATACATGAGGCTGCCCACCAACGAGTGAAAACGGCGCCTCTCCTCTTCACAAACGCTCTCCTCCTCTGGTCCCTTCACACACTTGAACCCAGAGGGAAAGGGAGTAGCCACATGACCTTCACTCTGGCCG